GAAAAAAATCACAACTCACAAGCTCGTCCACAGACCCTCCAGAAACGCTTGTGTGTGCCATCTCAAGTTCTCCCTCCCCTCGAATAATGGGCAGCTGCACCATACTGCTAACAAAAGACCCTCTGTTTCTGCTGTGGTTTCAATTATTGAATATACTGTGTGATCAAAGTTGAAAGCAACCGTAGGTAAGTTGCCCCATCAACTGCGGTATCAAAGAAATACGGACCTAACAACGTCATGTTATGCATCCCAAATCAAACAAGGGTTTCGGGATTGTAACTGTGCTGTTTCATTATAACGCCTAGGTTTTTTCGTGCACATTAAAGTTGATCGTTTTTGGTAGTCTCTTCATACAAGTAGAAAACGGCTTTATTGGATCAGATTAAATCCTCAGTCAACGATGGATGTGTTAGCGCGGAGCGGTTAAACCATCCCTCGCATTCCATGCGTTTCGATCAATCCGATTCCTTCATCTTCTTTTCTTCTCTTTCGTTTTTACTTCCTTTTATTGAACACATTGTAATACAATTTCCAGGGAGGGTTCAGTGGCCAATCAAAGGACTGTCATACAACACACAAAGGGGAAAGTCAGGGGGTGGCGGTGGGATTCAAACACACGTGCTCCTGGGTGAGAATTCGGAGACGTTACCACCGGCTATCGCTACCCCATGGAATCATCTTTATGGGCGAAAGAAAAGACGAGAGATCATTCGTTGTATGGTTGATTAACTATGCGAGAACTGCCAAGCTGCTTTGCAAATGCAGAGGTGGGGGTTGAAGATACAGACATTTGCACATTGTTTTTCAACTACACCGTAGTCACAAGATTCTTCTTCAAACCATTTATTCCGCTCCTGGTCGATCCGTTGTGAAGAAAACGTTGTTCGCATTTCATTCACAGTTGAAGCGGGCTGATTTTTGCTTTGTCCGGAATAAGACGGTTGAATTCTTCGTATTTTCCTGAAAACTCAAGCCTGACTCATTCATTCATTCTTTCGTTAAATCCATCTTGCAACGACTGACAACAGTGACTTGTTTCTCACGAGCAGAGAAAAGTTGACACAAATCGACCGGCTTTCCCCACCACAATCACAAACGATTCTGGAGGGTCTGTGTACGAGATTGTGAGTTGTGATCAACCATTGACATTTGGCACAGTTTCGTCGGGCAAAAGTGCAACTGAATCGCATCTGAAAATCCCGTACTCAGCATGGCTTTCGTCTTCGTGAATCACCCGGTATAATGACAAACGTTTTAGAAATAGGGAAGCAGTCAATTCAATCGCTGCCGTGCAACAGAATGGGAAATCAGCTGGCGGTGGTCGATTTCGAACACACGTCCTCCTTTACCACTCCGTCATCACCGCCGTCAAGAAGCACAGTAAACAAGGCCAGTTTGATTCAACTAGTTGTTTTCCTCGGCTTTTGACTGATAAACGCAAGCGGTATCTCGTATAACGCGTGCTCATCACTCGCATTGATGACACAAATTGACACCAATGATTCAGTTTACACTGTGACCTCTCAGAGCAACAAGTTTGTGTCAACGTCCGTTACGTGAATTGTTTCTAACTTACCACTGTTCATTTGTTTCTGTTGCATTCTGTATTCTTCCAACCGAATATCCTTGCTCATTGAGGCAAGTCATGTTTCCCCTACCAGATTAGATCAGTTAACACTTCTCGATTACCGAATTCTTGTGATTAGTAATTACGCTTGTGTTTCTTCCCCTTGATTTACTAAACCCCTATTCAACTTGTCCAGTACGGTCCTTGCTACATTCTTCTAGGCTACAACCATCTCCAAATATGCTTGACTTTTTTGTCTGTCATCTGCCCACTCGTGGACAGTCTTCCAAATAATTATTTCGCTTCTACTCAATCACGTGTTCTTATTCCCGTTAGATATTGATTTTACTAGTTATCCATCATAGAGTCATATGATATTGACACAACAATCAACAGATTGATCAATATCTGTTCTATTAATCTATTCACAATTTCAAGGCGGTGTATTTTCGGTTGAGTAAGTTAACGGTTCCTGTTTCTAATGCTCAGTTTCAAGACTTGCGGTGGTGGCTAACTGAGCCACAATATCACGTTAGTTCCCAAACAACCAGGATAGGGTTATGCACCTACTCTCCGTTTCCGATGATCAGAGCATAGTCCTCACAAATGACGGCACTTGCACGACATTTTCGGACTTCAATTATCTTCAACATTATTTGGAATTACCACCAAAAAAACACTTAGAAAGCTTATTCTGGTTTCAGTTCTTATCCCCATGTCTTTCCTAAAGATCAGTTCATATTTTCTTTAATTTATCGATCAATCCATGATTTATTTTTCGATTACGGGCGGCTTGTTTAGCTAACTTGACAAGCGTGAGTCGCACGAGAAGATCTGTTCATATGCTGATTTGCATGTCGTTTTATATCAGATAAAGAGTTGAGTTACGCCGAATTTCGGGAACAACTACAACTTTTGTCATAGTTGAATAACCATTGCTCATCGTTTGGTAGCACTTGGTAGCCACAATCCGTACACACATACCGTCCCGGGGAAATTTAACACACCCAAGATCACAGTACTTCTGAACTTTGAACCTCGTTATGTAACTTGGCAGCCTATTGACTCGGAGTCACTCAAAAGTTTCCACCTCGGATGGTAATGAACGTACGAGAAAATTGTCTTCGGTTTCGTGTTCAAGAGCTTAAATTTTACAATGTTCAGTTACAAAAAACTGTGCGCAAAAGAGGTGGACTGAAAGCACATGAGTTACTTGTTTATACCCCTCTCCTCCACCCGCCCCGTAGCCAGTGTGTAGTAATGCACGGAAAATAGTTACTAAACTACAGGAAAGCCGATGCTTGATGTAATCCTGTCTGTGATAGGCTGATTGATCCCTCTCTCTCGTTCGCAATGAGTTGGTCATTATGATTTATTGTTACGAATGACCGAATCAGAGACGGCTCAAGCCTGTGCATGAAGTTGGTTTAGTGCACAGATATTGTTCAAGCTCTGTTAAGTGGGTATAACAATACCCACAGAATAAGCGTAGCTCAATGCCCTAAGGAAGAACCCTGAGTTTTGCAATTGGGATTACATTCAGTGGAGGTAAGTCGAAAATCCAGATTGCACAGTTGGCTCAAAAAGCACCAAATAAGCTGATTGGTAGTTCAATATTACAAAACTTCACGTCACTGTTCTACCTAACTGTGCGTTGAAGAATCACTCGGGTATTCATGACTTATCGGAATTCCTCCTGCTTGGTTGGGGTATGAAACAGTTTGAATCATCGACTGTCGTGAGATTCAAATTCCCGTTTTAAAAGATTCCATGTGTTAAGCCACGATCCCCTGATCGAAAAATTAAAAAAAACTTTTGTTGGGCTTCAACATTGAGGAATGCTTCCATCGGGGACATTTTTACGGGATCAGTTAGATCTCACTCATGAAGCTCCACTTCATTCCTTGCATATGAGGCAATTGGAATTTTTGAACTAGGAATAAAATTTAAAAAATCACGAATCAGACCAACATCACTGGATCTTTATCAGTCGTGTATGATAAGGGTTACATGTAGCAACAAGCGTGCGATTAAAAAAATGTTGAATTTACCCTGAATTTTTGTTCGTATATTAACAGTCTTTATTTGGCGGAGTTAGCGAATCAATGATACTTGCAAATAATGAATGGTTTTCCCTGTTCCTTGAACATGACTATGTTATATTATTATTTGAATAAAAGGCACGTAATGGTAACTAGCGGTTAATAAATCTATTTTGCTAATTAGAGGACCCTGATTTTTATTCACTATCCAGATCAGGGGATGGCTCAAGCAATAATGGGATGAAAACTATGTTGCGAATACGCGAATCAGGTTAAAAAGATAATCGATCCAAGTCACTCTAAATGAAGAGGCTTGATATTTGTGTAGAACCAATTTCTCTCTTTGAAAAGACATTTGAACACGAACGTGAGGGATATATTCATCAGTGTTGGTAAATTCCGGTTTTCGCCCAGCGAATTCCATGAATCTGAATCGGACTCATTTATTACACATCAGGACCAAATAATGTTGGGAGTCCATCGAAAAATCGATGCGCCATGTGTTGCTTTATTGTGAATGTTATAGTGTTTATAACACCGTGATGTTGGTAGAGAATTATTTTCATTTATTTATCTTTTGATGTTTCCGTGATTTGACGGGAGTAAAAGTTCCACCTAGCCCCCGGTACATTGAGTCATTTTTTTCTCAAACTATAAAATCCCATTTCACGATTCAGCTCGTCGTCGCTTCTTTTGTCCGCAGTTTCTTTGGTTTTTATTGACCAATAGACTTCATTATAACACTTGACCCTGATTGGTTGCCGCTCAAGGTCATTCGAGATAGGCTGATACGAACTAGTCGGTGGCGTGATCTCCCTAATGGCGTTCACCGAAAATACAGTGCAGAAGAATTACGCTTTCATATACCCACAGCAATGAACAGATTGGATCCGTATGATCACACATCGGAGAGCTACAGGACGGCAGACTTCCAGAATGGGCAAACGAGCTTATCAGTCACTCCGTGCGAAGATGACTTTTACTGTGTCACCGCGGATTTATCACTAGTGCGCACTATTTTTACCGGCTGGTTAGGCATTCCAATTGTGCTGGGTTGTGTTTTCTCTAATCTACTGTTTTTAACTGCTCTGGGCAATCGAGTTTTGCATTCAACAGCAACCATTTACCTGTTCACTGCTATTCTCACTGATACTATACGACTTCAACTTCTTTCGTTCATTCATGTATCAACTGCATTGCCTATAACGGAACAGAATCGGATCCAGCTGTATCGCTCTCATGTGTCCTACTTTGTGCCGGTTCTGTCAGCTTGGTTACATTTTTTACAATATTTCATCACCCTAAACTTAATCGGAAGTCTTTGGACTTTGGCAAGAAATTCGGCTTCAAACACATCGCGTCTGAACGATTGTGGTTTATCTACGTCGGCGATGTCATTTATGTCTCCTCCTGGCTGGTCTTCACCGGTATTCAAGAAACCACGGCTCATGGCTCGAGTGCGAGGCTTGGTTCTACTTTTGAATTTATTCGTTGCATGGTGTCTGAGCATTCCGAATTTGATCAAATACAAGCTGGTTGAAATCCCGTTTGATCACACACCCAACCCGATTGTGTATGGTCAGGTTAGACAAACTCAAAGCTACCGAGCTCATACCCATTTGTACCAGCTTGTTCAACTATGCGCGGGTGCAATCTTGTGGATTCTGCTAACCGTCAGCTTTATGGCTTTGTTTGTTCGTATTGTTTTGAACAAATTCTCACACCCGGTACACACTTCAACCAGATCCGGACAGTCGTCTTATGTTTACTTCGTATCCAGATGGCTAAAAATGGAACAACAATTGACTCTAGCACTGGGCGTTTTATGGGTTTTGAATGTTTCCGCCGATCTTACCGCATTTTTTCTCGATTATTTTCATGTGGTTATTGATCGAGCGCGTTTGTTTGTGGCCCTAGAATTTATTAATCTTTACCTTGCTGCGTTGAGAGTGATCGCTTGTTTCTTATTTGGGGCCTATCCACGTCGATTGTTGACAAACATTCACCGTTTTTGGCTGTTTCCCGATCGGAATCACGGACCCGATGGATTCCAGTCTGGTTTTCCATTTGTCGATGCACACGGTGATTCTTATTTGCCAATGACGGAATCGAAGATTTCATTCAGTGGCAGTCTTGTTCCTATGATGCTGAAAAGAAATCGATCTTCTTTTGGGGGCTCTATCATCCAAGGAACGTCCGGTGTAAGTACGTTTCCCAATGGAAAAACTGCATCAGATATCCCCGGACCGAGCAGCAATGACTGAAAGGGTAACAGTATTCGGTTATTATTTGGTAACTTACTCCTGTCATCTACAAGATTTC